GCACATGATGGTGGGATACACTATGGTGTATTCATATAAGTACATGGGAAAATTATTTCAAGTTCATTCCACTGTCTTTCCTTTTCCTATTACCCCTTCCTTCCCTTCATTCCCCTCTGTCTAATATACTGAATATCTCTTCTTCCTCTCTCCCCCTCTTATTGTGGGTTAGCTTCCACATATCAGCAAAAACATTTAATCTTTGGGTTTTGGGACTGGCTTATTTCACTTGGCATAATAATCTTCAGGATTTCTAAAAGTTGAGCTTGCATTTTAATGTATAAATTTCACTTCATTTCTTGCAAATGTCAAAAAGTCTTTCTTCTTTATAGCTGAGTAATACTCCATTTTTACATAAACCACAATTTCTTCATCCATTCATCTGTTGAATGGCACCTAGGTTGGTTCCATAGCTTAGCTATTGTGAATTGAACTGCTATAAACATTGATGTGGTAAGTGTCATTGTAGTATGCTGATTTTAAGTCCTTTGGATGTAAACTAAGGAGTGGGATAGTCTGGTCAAATGGTGGTTCCATTCCTAAGTTTTCAAGGAATCTCCATACTGCTTTCCAGAGTGGCTGCATCAATTTGTAGTCCCACCAGCCAGTATGAGTGAACCTTTTCCCCCACATCCTTGCCAACATTTATTGTTACTTCTATTCTTGATAATTGACATTCTGACTGGAGTGAGATGAAATCTCAGTGTGGTTTTAATTTACGTTTCTCTAATTGCTAGAGATGTTGAACATTTTTAATATATTTGATGACCATTTGGATTTTTTCAGAGACTCTGTTTTTCTTGATTAATTCTTTTGTTTGTTTTGGTTTTTGGTGGAAAGAAGGAAAAAAAAAACCTTGATTGGTTTTTGAGTGAGTGGAAACTTAGCTCACTTTCTATTCTAGAACAATTTCTCTTCTAATATTCTCTTAACATTTATTAGATTCTTTTTTTTTGCTAACACCTAAGTTTAATAGAATGTGTTCCCTCCTCTAATTCAAAAGTGATAGATGTAAACAAAACACTTGTTCTATTTCAAATACTAATTTAACTTCATACTGCTAAATAAATATTTAGTCAATGAAATATGTCTGCATTACTTTTGTGAAATATGTTATATGAATGAAAAGTAAGGAAACAAGAAAAGCATGCTAAAGAGAAACCAAGGTTTGAAATTACCTTTGACATTATTTTATATTTAACCTACAGTTATTGAGAATAGAAATTAATTTGGCAGAATGTCATTCTGTTGTCTTTCTTCAAAATACATAATAAATAAACATCCTATTTACCCAAACTAAAAAACAACAAAAAAACATATTCATAAGAGAAAAACAAAAATTTTAAATACTACTAAGTAGAATTTAAAGGGAAAAGAAATACTTAATTAAAAAAAAATGTTAGCAAAGAAAGGAAATCTGTGTTAACCAAACGACATTCTTGGCCATATAAATTTTAATTTTTAAATACAGAACTCATCTTTTCTTGTTCCTTCCCCACAACCCTATTATGTACCATAAAATTCTTGCTAAACCTCTTGGCAAAATTGGTAACACGTTTTTTCTACTTTTTTATAAATTTCGCATAATTGTGAATTTTAATTGCCTTGTTAATTTGACAGTATTGTCAAAAGATGTGATGAAAACAGGAATTTATGGGAATGCAAAAGCATTCTTAAAATTATATTCAATTATGTTCATATAATTGCTCTTATACTGTTAGAAGCTTTTGGAGCAGGGCTGACCATCCTGGCCAAAGTTGAACCATCAAGACCTTTGTGAAAATTAGCTCAGATGGACACACAGATCAACTACTGCTCCTTCCCAGTGTTCTTCTTCCAGTTTCTCTGGTCTTAAGTCACAAATTCAAGTGTCCTTGCATGCACCTTTGGTTCCTCAAACATTCTGTTTAGCTAAGCACACTCATGCATAATCTATATCGCATGGAAATTGAATTAAATAATGCTTGAGGAGTATTTGGCATGTTGCCCAGTATATAAAACGCATCCAATAAATAAGAATAGTCACAGGCTTTCTTGATAATATTATTTAATCATGTTCTTTCCAATTAACCATAAATAGTAGCTACTATTTAGTTTCCACATGAAAATTGAGAAACCCAAAGATCTCAGATATTGATTAGCTTGCCAAAGTTGAACAGCTACTGAGGAACAGAAATTGGGATTTTACTTTAATGCCGGAGGTCTCGTCATTAGCTTCCCAACTAGTAAGAGTAATTCATACATTGAAGTATGACTGTTGATAGACGGAATCCTCCTGAGATAACAGCTTGTTACCTGTGTTTTTTGAGTGAGTGGAAACTTAGCTCACTTTCTGTATGTATTTGAGGCTGTTCCATCCGGGACACTTCTTTTTACTTCCTGTCAGTATTCAGGACCTGGAAGTTGGCTAAGCTAGTGGCAGCTATTCTAATTACTGTCTAAGTCTAAGGAATAAGTAAACACAGGGCTCTTCATAACAAGCCTATACATTTGATTTCCTATACTGAAATAATATGCTTCCTCTTTAACCTTCCACAGATGCTTTAATCAGTTATAAACCAATCATACCATCTTAAAATTTCAAACTTAGTAATACTCTTGAATAACTTCCTTGTTTGTTCAGTGCTCTGGAACTGGTTTAGAAAATATAGCACAGCTAAAATTAGCAGTATCTTTCCTGTTTTTGCGGGGAAAAAATAGTGATAACAACTTCTGTCGATTTGTAGAAACTTTAGTATTTAGGTAAGGAACTCTATTGCATTTAGCAGTTTGGAAAGTTTAATTTTTTAATCAGTTTTGAAATAGTCGGTTGAAAATTGAGGCTCAAAAAAAAAAATAGCAGTGTAGTTCAAGGAAGTTTTCATTGCCAAGTCGAACCCATTATTGTTCCTGATGCTGGCAAACTTTCCATAGGAAATTTTGCATTTCCGAGTCCTATCATGTGATGCATGTTCTCTCTGGAAATTTTAAATACCACTAAGTAGAGTTTAAAGGGAGAAGAAATACTTAATTTAAAAAAATGTTAGCAAAGAAAGGAAATCTGTGTTAACCAAATGACATTTAATATGTGGGGTGTTTTGTGAAAATGGAAGGCAGATCCATAGAGGAAAGAGACCAAGGAGACGAAAGAAAGGAGAGAAAGGGGGAATACTGGGGAATGATACTTGCCAAATTATATTTTGTGCAGATATGAATATGGCAATTAGGATATGTCAGCAATAAATCCCACAATTATACAGGACTATAATGCAACAGTAAAAATATGGAAAAAAAATCAATGGAGTGTTGCTTCTGTGTTTAACTAAATTAAGTGTTTGAGTAGAAGTAGTTTCCTAAGGTTCTACTTTATCTAGACTTTTTATTTGTTTCACTAATATTGATTGATTTAATTGAGGCTATAAGAATGTAAATATATATGGAGAGTAATGATTTTCTCTTTTAAAATTCTGGTGTATGTTCATATACAGTTCTGCCTCTTCATCTGTTCTGAATGTGTATGCATAATATATGTGCATATGTGTGTATATATTCATAAGTTATATATTTGAAGCTTGAGTTTAGTTTCACAAAGATTGTGATAGGGGAGGAAAATAATTTCCTCTCTATTCTTCATAGTTCTTAGTTGGGATGAACACCTATGACAAAAAACATATTCTCAAGAGAAAAACAGAAGTTTAATAACTTGGACACGTCATGCATATGTAGGAGACACCCATGGCGAAGTGAGCGAATTTCCAGGAGGTGGCTTTGAACTTAGGCAGGTTTGCATTCCGTGGTCCCCCTTAGCTGTACTCTCAAGTCTCATGGTTTCAGCTACCCATCATCTACCATGGTCTGAAAATATTAAATCAGAAAATTCGGGCAGTGAGCAATCTGTGTTTTAGAAAGCCTGCCATCCTGGGCAGTGTGGTGTGTTGTATCCCACTCAGGACATGAGCTGTCCTCTTGTCCAATGTCCAGGCTTCTTTCCCCCACCTGCCCATTAGTAGGTGGTCTCAGTTATCACCTCATTGACTGTTGCAGTACCACAGTGCTTATGTCCAAGTGAGTCTGATTTTTACTAAATAACAGCCCCAAGGCTCAAGAACATTGATCCTGGCAATTAGGATATGTCAAGAAGCCCTCAAGTGCCTCCTTTATTTGAAAAGGTGAAAACTCTTTGATTACTATCTTCAGGGAGAGTAGATCCTCTACCCATGAAATAGTGAAGAAGGAAAAGGAAATTAAGTTAGTTTTACTGTCACAGCACATACTGCAAAATTTAGGGTCATAACCAGTGAGGAGTACTTAGTTAAGACAGAAAAGGCATTACATTTGTGTGATAATGTAGAGGAAGAAACACAAGATATACAGGATCCTGGCTGGCTGTGGTTTCAGCAGTCCACAGGGTGGCTGGTGTCTTGGAAGGTACATACTGAGGATGAGGGAGCCACTGTAGTATCATCCATTGAAACAAAGAAAGAAGGATGGGGAAGGATTCAGTCACTGGGAGGTAACTAGAAAGAACAAGTGATCCAAGTCCCTTGATTCAGTCACCCCTCTTCCTGGTGGGGAGGAGACCCTTACAAATGCAGATTTCCTTTACAGATGCCAATTTCCCTTACAAAAGATAACTTCTTTTGTTTTCAGAGTTTCTCCAGTGTTTGCAGTTTCTCAAAATAACCAGCTCAAAATAATCTTTATGCCAAAGAGGCATATTTTGGGGTGGCATATTCTAGTCTTCTACAATGCATACAAAATGTTTTAAAAATAGATGACAGTTCAAACTAGAAATTTCCTTTGCCTACTTAACAGAAAAATCACCAAATGTTTGGTGTTTATTTTGAGAGCAGAAAAACAGTTTTGATTCTCTTTCAAGCTTTGCATGTATGTATTCAGTGTCTTGCATGTATGTTCCTATTTGGCGCAGTCTCGCACATTTACTAATAGTAAAATTTGACTAAATGTGGACAAATTGAGTTATGAATTTGCATATAAAGTACATTAACTTGTCTACACAGCACTGGAGAGCCTGGAAGGATATTATTATAGAGACAATGTTTCTGTGGAAGAATTTCAAGCCCAGATAAATGCAGCCTCCTTGGAAAAGGTCAAGCAGTACAACCAGAAACTCAGGTATGTAACTGCCCAGGTTGGCGTCATCTTTGTTTTTAAATGTCTCTATTTTGAACACATCAATAAGGTTTGGGACATTTCCATTCTATTAGATTATTTATTATTTTTACTTTGATAGGAAGTCCTCTTATAATGTTTATGATTTCGTCTATTCGAATGGCTAATCTTATTCCTAATAAAAATGACAAAGGAAAGCGTTCTTAAAATTTTCATATTAATGTTTCAACTTTGAAAAAGATAAAGAGAAGAGAATAAATACATCCTAGGCCATTTCCAGGGGAGAGGTGATGTTGACATGTTATAGTGGTATCCCCAAGGAGACTTAGTGGATTAAGGGTAACATAGGTTCCTTCATGTACATGGAGCCTTCTCACGGGGAGAATATCTTCCACATGGAAGATATGACAGGACACAGGGTATTGGAAAACTATCTTCTTACAAATAGATATGTTAATGCTTGTATGTTAAGCTTTTCCCTAAAATATTGTTAAGGTACAATGATAATTGGCTGCAAAAATTAACCACCAACAGTGGAGGGAAGTTTATTGTAATTCAGTAGCTTTAATTTTTAACAATATTGGCATATGTATCTTTTTTAAATTGCTTGAAAAATTTAAGTTTTTTATTGTTTGTTCATTTTTGTGCCACTAGGGATCAAACCCAGGACTTTATGCATACTAAAACAAGCACTGTATCACTGAAGTATATCCCTAGCCCTAGGCTTTTTATTTATAAAGGGAAATAATGCTCTACTCAAAAATACTGTTGTGGCTTTTTTTTTTTTTTTTTTGTCTATGATGGGGCCTCACTGTGAATATAATTCCTAAAATGTCCAGCTGGAGGCGGTGTAGGTTCAGGTGGTTAAGACAATGGGTTGGCTTTTTCCTCTAGGAATGCTTTGCCTACTTACCTGGTCTCACAAACATGGCCCTTCTCCTTCGCTCTCTGGTTCATCGATAAAATATCAATTTTCTGAAGTTCTCAGTCTCAAATCCCTACCATCATTTTTACCTCCTCTTAAAATGTAGTTCAAGATCCTGATGAATCTGAAATGTCTCTTAGACTGCCCCTGCATTATCACCTTGTTGAGATCACTATTTCTGACTCTTTTCACAGCAAGAAGCGAATCTGAAGTATCAGTGTCCCACTCTGGGAGAAAGTCGACTCTCCTTTATAAACTGTCTTTCTTTTATTTTGAAGCTCTAGTGCAGCCTGGGCACTAGCATGTTTTAGAAGCTCCCCCAAATGGTGCCTAATCTAGAGTTCTGAAAGGATGATTCCGAGACCAGCTGCAGACTTGCTAGCAACTCTGGGATGGGTCCAGCAGCCTGGGTTATAACAAAGCCTTCCCTGCGATTCTTTTGTACACTTCAATTTCAGAACCACGATCTCAGGCCAAAATGAATATCGTATCATTTTTCCACCCTGTCTTTTTACTTTATGATTACTATAGAATCCAGTACTTCTCCTCCTCAATAATAGAATTATGTGTACAGAATTCTCATCCTCTCTATCTAGTGAAAGCTCTTTGAGATGAGGAATGAATTGATCTCCGTGTCCCCCAGTGTATTTATCAAAGGGTTTTGCATAAGATGCTCTCCATAAATGTGCTTCATTGCATTAAAGTATTTAAGCATAACTAGCAGAAAAGAGTGGAGGTGTGGCTTACCATTCTCAGCCCTGTGGGGTCTTATTGAATTATTATATATGATCACCTAAACTGGATTCCTGATGTTTATTAGAAAATGGCACATGTATTAGTTACAAGCTATCATATTCTCCTAAGAAAACATTTTAGTGTATCTTTCCTCGAGAAAGCATTTTGAGAAGTATGAACTCAGTACAAATTAGATGCCCTTGTCAGTAATTGCCTGCTCTGCATCCTGCTTGCTGCATGTTAGATTTATTTTGCAGAGAAAGGTAATTATCTTCCTCCTTCCAATAGTACCTTCTCTTCCTGCTTGTTTCTTGAATAAGGTACTAATTTCTTCCTTAATTTTTCCTGTTACTCTGTAAGCACAAATAGTCCTAAATTGCTCATGAGCAATTTGTTCTTGATTTATAGAGCCTCAAGCCAACATTAACCATTTTAAGTAAGTCCTGAGGTTTCTGCTTCCTCATAACCCTAGTGCCTTTTTTACATTTACACTGGAAATCATTTCATACTGGACATTAATTTATTTGTAAATTGGATGCTAGAAAAAGCCTCTTTCTCCTTAATCTTACATCAAACTAGTGCTTGATTAGAAGGCATTTTTTTAGATTTTTATGAATTTCAGAAACCAAACTCAAATAGGCCTAAGGAAATTAATATATGGGCTAACATATCAGAGACATCCAGGGCCTGTGGCTGTTACAGGGACAGTGTGATCTGGGATTATGAGTTCCTCAAGAGACTGTTTAGCTTTCTGTCTGCTAGTATTTCTTTACTCTGTGTGGACTTCATCATTGGGCCTCCTTTTACTCTCTCTCTTGGGTAAAGATGGTTACTCCAAACTAGTGTAACATTCGCAGAAGAAGAGAAAATGTTCCCAAGCCCACCAGCTCTAGCCAAGGACCAGGGTAGGCATGCATTAGCTCAGAATAGGTCACAGGCCCATTTCTGACTGGGTTCAACCCCACAAAGGAGCATCAAACTGTCACCAAGAGTGAGGAGAAAGGAGAAGGATGAGCAGAGACAATGGACTCCACTCTAGTTATAGAGACTGCCCTAGAATGGCCAAGAGTAGATGGAAGAAAATTGTAGCCATAATACAAAATACCAAATTTTGAGAATGTATCAAGTGTCAGTAACAATGCCAGGCAAGTTATGTGGATTGTTTTAAAACCTAATGAGATCTATATATCATTTCCATTATATAAAGGGAACTTAGGTTACCCAGATAAATATTTGATGAAACCAGGATTTAAGGCACAGACTTTTTTTTCTCTTTAATGTCTGTTTTTTTTTTTTTAGTATTAAATGAGGCCATCTCAATGAATTGAGTGAACATTTTACACTGATTTTACACTGAAAGTGAATTCTCTGTTACTCAATTTTGGTGTCAGAGATTACCATTGGCCCATAGTCCTTCTTTGCCCTTGGTAATTCATTCGTCCAGTTTACTTGAGGTTTCCATTCTTGTGGGAATGGGAAAGAAAGAAAATGAACAAGAAAATAAATATATAAACAATGTTTTTCAGACAGTGAAAGTACATTGAAGAAAATAGAAAGCAAGTTGATGCATTAGGAATTTGATAGTCCAGAGGGGGTAGTGAGTAATGACTTAAACATTATCCTGACTTACAAGGAGGCAGCCTTGTCAAAATATGGGGGAAGATCTTGACAAAAACAGGAAATGGATGTCATACAAACAAGCTGTCCTATTGGAGGAGACAAAGAAAGTCAGTGGGATTCTAGTACATACTGAGAGAGACATGCAGAGCCAGATTCTATAAGGTGGTAGACCATTGCAGGATATTTGGGGATTATTGTAAGAACAACAGAAAAGCTGTTGGAAAGGTTTTATTGAGTTAATCCTATTACTTCTACTACATGCATAAGTTACAAATAATCTTTAAAATGGCTGAAGTTTTCACAAGGAGGTAGTAAAGCAAGCCACAGCCAGCTGACTGGTCTAACCAGTATCCTCCCATCTCCTGTGGAAATCCACTGAGACATGATCTGGGAACCTTTGTCACATGCATGATGGCCCTGTTTCTGGGTGCCTGAAGATACCTGGCTGTTTCCCCTATGAGTGAAACTGAGCTGAAGAAATGTCTCACAGATATTCTAAAACATAACCTCCTTCCTGGCCCAAGTCAGATAATATATTTTTTATTTTATTTATTATTATTATTATTGTTATTATTACTATTATTGTTATTATTAGGTACTGAAATTGAACCCAGGCCCTCACATGTGCAAAGGAAATGCTGTACCACTGAGCTCTACCTCCAGCCCTTTTTATCTTCCTTTGTGACAGGGTATTTATATTGTCCAGGTTGGCCTTAGACTTTTGCAATTCTCCTGCCTCAATCTCCTAAGTAGGTAATGTTCTTGATTGATTTTTCACCTGTTTAAGAGAAGCAGCATGTATAATTTTTAGCTCTGATATTCAGACAAATTTACAATTATTCCCTCCCTTCACTATCCTCACCCATCTCTATTCTCTTTTCTACCTATGACTTTCCTTTTTATTTCCTGTGGCAATCAGACATAGTTTCTATAAGCCTCATTTTCTTCTGCGTACTTAAAGGTGATTTATTATTACCAAACCCTTTCATTTTAATGCATCCTCTTTATTGGCAAAAAGTACTACTACGTGGTGACTAATGAGATAAAACTATAAATGTGAACAGTTCCTGTATCAAAATAGTCCTTGCAGTTTCAGAGGCGTAGGTTATTATTTTTAAATGCAATATTTTCAATATAAAATAAATGGGAAATAATGAAACTCAGAAGGATACACATTATATATTGGCTGCTGTGATATTTTATTTTTGTGAAATGTTAGCTTCATAATGATTTTTTTTTTTTTAGAGCTCACAATTCGGGGTATCTAAATGAAATTCATCATCTCTGTAGGAAGAAAATAAGACAATTATTCAAAATAAATGTTCTCTTGAGGTGTGCCTTTGTGGATAAAGAATGGCACATTAAAAAAAGAGGTTTGAAAAGCTAAGCGCATTTTCTGTAGTAAATAGAAATACTACACACAGGTACCAACCTCAGAGCCATATATTCTGGACAACTTTTACAACCGAGAAATGTCTGCCAAAAACATGTGTTTTAACTCTTCCCATGATAGCATCTCCTTGAGTCACTTCTCTCTGTCTCTGCAGAAAATAAATAAAATGTTAGTGAGTATGCACCCCTGACATGGGATGGCATGAAGGATGGCAGGGCCTCACTGCCGTTTCACATTTTCACCTGTAGCTATCAAACAGCAGGAAGGCACAATGGGACTCCAGCTCTTATAACCTGTCCCAGATCCCAGGCTCACATTCTATTCTCCCTC